AGTGCGGTCTACCACCGTGCTCCTCGACAGAAGAATCCGTGAACCAAAAAAAAAAAGAAAAAAAAAATCAAATAAATTTAAGGCAATTACGAACGCAGTGACTGAACTTCAATCGATACACGATCGAACGGCCTACATTGGCGACTGACCACGGATGGCGGCTGCGATCTCCATAAGCGTGTGGCACATCATCCTCTGCATCTCCTCGGATGCCGCATAGTGCGCTTTTTGGACTGCAACTTCCTGCTCGAGCATGTTGCATTGCCTCGTGAATATGCTGCATTGCCGCTTGCTAGATGAATCGATCGTCGCTGACATCAGTTCGCCATGGCGGTCCATGACATCAGCGATCGACTCCAACGCCTGTTGACGCACATTCTTCCGCTTCCCGCCTACAACCCCAGTGCCTGCGTTGTTGTCGGAGTCCTTCGCAGAAGAGCGTTCTTCAGGGCAGCCATCACTTCCGGCCTCGCTACCAACAGACTCCCCACCAACCGCTCCTCACCTGGGCAGCTRCACCCCGTCCGGAYTGCCGGTRTCGGCGAYATTGGGAGGGAAAATAGTATGGTTCCCCAGCATGCCTGCGTGGATCTCGTTGTACAACACCCTATCCATCCGGAACTTGAAGTTGTGCTCCTTCCTTTCTTCAYTCGATAGCCTGAAGAAATCTCCGTGGCCGYTGGCATTCTSAAACCTTTGTATCTTCTTGTAGTTTTGGAAGAGATTGTCCCACTTCTTCATGTAGTCATCGGCGTCTTGAAGCCTCCCCACGATCGTCATGCGTTTCGCAATGTCGTCCCACTTCCACTCCTTCGTGCGCATCCGCCCGTAATTGTGACCCTGCCCGGCGAGGTGCATCTACTGCTCCCGCTTGCATCTCACGAGGGCCATTTGTTCTTTTGGAGACCAGTACGTTGCAGACTTCCCGCCGTCGTCGCTGACGCCACCTCTGCCGCCACGGCCGACGGATCGACCACGAACAGCACCTCTGCCGCGTCCTTTCCCCCTCCCACCCGTCTTCCCCAAAGGCCGAATAGGAATGTCGTCGTCGTCGTCCCCTGCTTCCACGTCCTCCCTGAATCCTTCGTCTGCATCGTCACCGACACCGCCATCGTCGTCGCCGCCATCGCTGTGTGCCCGCATGTTGGACACTCCTCGTGTGATGTTCTCCACAGTGGGTCGTGGACGCACCAGTGGTATGCGGGCGCCCTCGTCCCTCAAGTCGGGTTCGGTCRGCGTTGTGCGGTTCGGCATCGAAGGACGTGCACCGCCGATGCGCAGGGACCCAGCTGCGACTCCAGTGCGTGCGGGCCAGCTACTTGTCAATTGATTGGCGAACGGTGCAGTCGATCCATGCTGCCGGCCTGCTGGCGATGGCCTGACACCTCCAGTAACGGACGCACCGCCACAAACTGTGGAATGCTCCGTATGCTCGCTTCCAACATGTTGAAGGCCACGTGGGGAAGGATCGACGTCGATGATGAACGTACGGCTCACCTCCCTGGCGCCGCCAGAACACAACCCGAACCTGAGATCAAGTCCTCCRTCGTCGTCGTCTCCCAAGCCTTGCTGCCTTGGCGCAGGAGTGAGGTGTACTCGCCGCCTTCGTTGCTAGTCGCCCCGCCTGCTCGCACCGTCTGCGACAACACCTGCGTCGACCCGCTGGCGAGAGGCAACGTTGGGAGTTCCTCCGTCTCCGGCTCCTCGTCCGACGGGGGCAGTGGCGTCTCCCACGACTCTAGATGGGCGTACATGGACGGGTCGTACCGCCTTGCCTGTCCTACCGTCGCAGGTCGTCTTCCGCTGTGACCTGCAGCCACATCCGCGCGTGCCTGCATGCCCGCCATCGGACGTTCCCCTGCCTGCCGTTTCGATGACGCCCTCCGCTTGTGATGTTGCTTCCACGGTCGGCATGACAAACACACGTGGAGGAAGACGACAAACAGGAAGACGACCACAGCAAGCACCAGCAGAGGGAATCTCCTATGCATGTCTACCATCAATTGAATCGCAGGCAGGCACACTTCCACGCGACTACTGCAGAAGTTTCTTCTGACATGCAGGTGTATAGGGCCGTTGGACCTTCATATGCCGACAACCACAAGACAAGATGACAAAGGTGCCTACCTGCGATTTAAAAATCGACCGTTGCCGCCTGCACACTGCCCGAAACGCATCCGTATGTCATCCCGCACACGTTAACGTCCTCCTCCGCCACCCGCAAGCGAGCCAACGGTCCACTACAGACGCCCGCCTGCCCACGCTCGGGCCCCCCCGATCCACCCCGTCGRCCAACGGCTACCGTTGGTGGCCGTTGCCGGCGTCGACCTGCGGAAAACCTCTGATGTCCGACCACCCACCCGACGGACCGCTCCTGGACCAGCAACGCCGTGTCGACAGGGCCATGTGCGCGACGCAACGATTCCGTGAAACTCGGGAATCCTAAATTTTTCAGTAGGTCGGGGGCTACTGGAAAATTTAGGACGATTTTGCCTGGGGAATCCTAAATCCTTTAGGACTCGTCCTAACACCGTTTTCACATTTTCGATCTCGAAAATGGATTGGATTGCGTGCAACGAAGACGCAATCCTAAAAACAAGCACTTTCAGGAGTGTCTAATGAGACCCCAATTGTCACGTCATAAAATACGAAAATGGGCAGGGTAACCGGCGTTCGGGACGGGCCGAACGCCCGAACCCGAACGCCCAAACGTATGGGACCCCTTGGGGATGGGTTCGGCTGTTCGGGCCGAACGCGGACCCAAAAAAAAATAAAAATAAAATAAAATAAATAAATAATAAAACTCTGAAAAGAAGATATGTTATGTAGAAAAATAAACTAAACAATATTTGCCTGAGCATTACATCCAAATACCTTACCAAATTTGAAATAAAAATAAAATACGAAGAACAAATACTTATAATAAAAATAACAAAAAATAAAAAGAGAATTAGATTTAGTGAGTGTGCGAGCATGTTTTCGACACCGCCATCTTTGGCGATTTTTTATTTTTTTTGGCATAGCCAAATGCCCTGAAAATTTACAAATGTGTACTTCACATAATACAAAACCCACTAAAAATGTTTCAAAAAATAATAAAATTATTTAGACCCCGAACTAAAGTGAAAACAAAAAGTCAAAAGTGAAACAAAACATGGGCGAGCACGTTTTGACACCGCCATCTTTGGCGATTTTTAATTCTTATTTGGATGAGCTAAGTGATGTCAAAATTGATAGGCATGTACCTTACGTCATAGAGAACTCACAAAAAAAAACTTCAGGAGAAAATAAATACTTTTAGGCCCCAAAATAATTTTTGGCGGGGGACGAACGCCGTCGGGTTCGGACCCCGTACGGGATCCCGAACGCCCGTGCGTACGGAGGTCAGCCCGGGGACCTCCTTACGTACGGGCTGGTGACCCTATATATATATATATATTATCTATATATATCTGTTTGTGACGATATATATATATATATCGTCACAAACAGAACTGCCCGGTAAAACCGTAGGCA